CTTCAATTTTGCATAGTGGAGGGAAGCGGTGATGCCATGTCCATTGAATATATGTCAGTGGTTTAGCTCAATGACTGTCAAGGTGATGACATGATTCCAGAAAGTCACTGTGCCCAAACAAAGAAGATATGTGTTAACTGGTGAGAGAGATGCTAGAGCTGTACAGTAAGTGGTTTGATATTGTTGGACACAGTCCTTTCCCCCTGTTTCCAGCTAAGCTAAGCTAACCAGTTTCATATTTACTTTTCAGCCATGAGACTGTTATCAATTTTCTCATCTGTCTCTCAACAAGACAGCAAATAAACGCATTTTCCAAAATGCCTATTGACTTATTATGTTGTTAGCTTTCAAAACCCAGAAGAAATAAAAGAAATCCTAAGTTTTCTTTCTGTCAGGCACTGTAACCAGACCTCAGCTGGGGGGGAAGATGTCAATAACTCAGAATACATGGATTTGTTCCACACCCACACATGCTTGGAGGCAGAAACGACACACAAAGAAGCCCGCATTAAAACAAACACACTCATGAAAACACTTAATCACACTCTTGTGCTGCACAGGACACACATCAGTCAGCAGGGAATATTTCTTACCCCAAATATTGTCTTATAATCACACATTTATTTGTGAATGTCAACAAAACACACAGCGATGGACTTCATTTTTGATTTTTTTAGCAAAAGACTGGAAGCATGTTAATCTAGAGACAGCGGGGCAAGGACATATCTAATGCAAAGGAATGCGGTAAAACCAATTTGCTGGCACCCTGTGAAATCTTGCTTAGGTTTGTTTTGTGAACAGTATAAAAGACATGTTGTGTCAGCATTTATTGAGCTGATGTTGTACTTTCTGTTAGTAGAAGAGTTGTCACAATATCAGATTTACTGCAGGATTATTATGATTTAGAAAAATCACGATGACAGTATTACAATATCATGATAATATCACAATGATATTAAGATAAATTCTAAAAACTAACATCATTTGTGCTTATAATTCTTTTATTAATATCATTGCCAGTGATGTTCTTTTATGAATGTGTAGCACATAAAAGAAAAATATATTAGACTATTTTTATAATGGAATAAATGTTTAAATAATTTTTCATGCAAACAAATATTACATTGTTGAAGCATCTTATATGTGAGGATTTTATGTTTCTCTTCAGTTTTACGTGTTGAGGGACTGAATATCTTGAGCTCTGGACTGTTGGCCAGACAACAGAAGCAACTTTTAGACATCATATTGACCTTAAGGAAATTTATTTTTCAAAATGTTTTCAAAATTAAATGACAAAAATACAGAGATTAAATTATAATGAAAATTAATATTAGCCACAGCCCTAAAATCTATTTTTGTCTGTAGTGTCAAACTTCTCCTTCTAACAAAACATCTTCCCTTTGTGTTTCACTGCTGAGCTTGGTGGCTTTGTTATTCACTAAACAGAGTGCCCGACATTTTTTATGTCATTTCTGTCCTTAACTGAAATGACCTGTGAGGTTGGTTGTGTTTTCACCTGGCCATCGCTTTTTTAAAAGTGGGAAAGTCTTCACTCTAAGCTCAGTCTGCTACCAGTAACATTACAGGTCTTTGACTTTGTTCATGTTTTTCATGTTGCTCTCTGAAAAGCCTCTCTGAAGCCCAAGGTCATAATTGAACCATCTTTGCTTTGTTATGTCCTCTGTGATGCTATTACTGGCAACCTGCTGTACTTGTAAAAAGACCAGTTGGTTTTTAATCGCTCAGAATTTAGGTGCGTATATGTTTCTTCTGTTATAAAGCCCAAGGTGGCCATTGTCAATCCCTCACAGGAGCTCACACACACACACACACACACACACACACACTGCAGACACTATTCTTATGAGTTACACACTACACAGAAAATAATAATAGATTATAATAAAAATGGCACTTCTGTAAGATTGGACAGTGAGTGTGAACAGAGGGATTTTGAAAGCTGCTCCTCCCCCTCTGTAACTTGATAGCGTGCAAATGATTCACCTTATTGTTCCCGTGCTGCTTAATAGTCTTCCTACCATCTGTTCAAACTTCAGCCGGCTTGACATCATAGTAGTTTCTTGGCTCAGAGGCTAATGACAGAGTCATGCCAACCTTAGGTAAAACTGTCTTTTCTCTGTGCCTAGATAAGATTTGTATTTCTTCATCAACAGCCTTGCAAACACAGTTGTCCAGGTGCTCTTGACTCTGACAATTTATGGTGCAGTTGTGGTTAGATGCTGTACCACCAGGAGAAAATAGATGTTATTTCAAAAACTTGTTATTTCAGCTGTAATGCTGGAATGTTCTGGAAATAAAGGAAGGGGAGGTGAAGACAGGTTAAATGAAGGCAGAGGAAACTGTGAGACCATGGATGTATGAGCAGAGCAGGACATAATGTAGCAGAGTAAACCCTGTTGCCGATTTGTCCCTGTTTCTAGCTGCAGTACAGCAACAAAAAATAATTTTCCCCCATAGGTCAGCATTATCAAAGACATGCCTGTCCAACTGTTGACAGAATAATGGACTTGCAGGTAACAGAACTAGTTCAAAGTTCAAGTTCAAAGTGTTTATTTTGTAGTAGTTGCCCAGCAACTTTTGATTATATCAAAACCTTGTCCTTTTTTGGGACCTTCTTCATTCAAGCATGAGATAATCTATAAAAATAATGGTAATAAAAATGTTGGTGTAGTGCATATGCAAGGGGAGACCATTTTACAAGAATGAATGGCCACCACTTGGAACACAGTGTCCAGCTGCCATTGTGCATCCAAGAGTGTGGCAGTAACAAAGATTGCTGTAAGAGTGTTTGGGGGAGTGCTGCACCTGGATTAGAGTGAATCAGCATGAGGCCTTCAACGATTTCCTGTGATTTGCAGGGAGCTCAGCGGAAACTTCCTCTCCAGGCTGCAACTGCCAGCAGCATGACATTCCTAGTTTGCAATTGATCTGTGGGATAAACTAACAGCACAAGGGAGATTTATAAACTAAAGGAAAAAGAAACCTTGCATCTTTCTTGTACACAAAGTTTGAGTTTTAAAACATGCTGTTTGCACAGTACAATTACTTTGCACAATTGCTAAACAAATAATGAAGCATGACTGTAAAGAACTCCTGCACCAAAACCTGTGTGTCTGCATGTGTGTGTAATCACACACGGAAGCTTCCTGTTTTGTAGGTGCAGCATGTAGCCTTTGTAGAGCCTGGCTGTGCACAAATACCAAGCTGAGAGTGGCTCTTGAACTTTGAAAATGTCAGCCACTCTGCACAGACAGTATCAGTTCATTCCTGGGTGTCCTCCCAGCCTCCTTCCCTGCACACCATAAAACTTTATTTGTGCTGAGAACGACCTACTGAAATCTTTTGAAGCTGTGACTGGGTTGTGGTCAGGGGACACACAGAGGATACATGCCCTTAGTTCAAACACAAATAGTCTTTTAAAAGTAACCTTGCCAGTTTTGCTCTTAAGACATCTGCACCACTGGACATAGCCAGGGCATCTGAGAAAAGGGTGCAGAGTGGTTAAGGGTGTGGGATGGGTTCAAAGGTCATTACACTGACTGACCAAAACATAGAAACCCCTGTAAAATATAACATAGTCCAATAGAATAGTCTTGTAATAAATAAATACTTGAGGAATTAGATTCAACTCTGCCATATAACATTTCACACAAACTGTTATTTTTGAGGCTGTAGTTAAGAATTATAAAGTAGTTTGACTTTTATTCTCAAGATTAGACTGGAGGGAGCTGTCCGTGGTGCTGTAACGTACTAAGCAGGATTAATAAACACATGTGTCATACCAATACAGTTTACCTTGCACTCCTGCTCATAAACCCTGCTGTGAAAGGGGAAAGCCATCCCTCTCACCCCCCACCCGTCCTCTTCATGCCTCTCTCCCACTGCTTCCCAGATCACGTTCTTCATAGCCAGTCACAGCACTGGGTCTCCCAAGAGGAGCATCCTCCATCATACAGTTTACTGTATGTGCTGTCTTATGGACCTCTGTCGGCTGTGAGTTGTTTACATGTTACTGGCAGCGGGGTGTGATTACTGTACCCCAGGCCTTTTGAGGATACCACTTCAGAGGAATGCTAAATCGACATGTGCATAGTATATGACAACAGTGCTCGATCATTAATTTCACCGTTTTAACACATGCATAGCTCATGGCCACTGAAGGTTTTGCATGAGTGCTACAAAGGGCCTTTTATGCCGGCTCTAATGAGCTCACGGCAGCTCCACATGTGACATTAGCTTTACAATTTTTCTTTTGTATGGTTTTAAATTGGTGCGTGAAGTATCTGTCATGTTTTTATTCTGAATTCTTACCCTCTTTTTGAACAAAGAAGATATTAACTCATGGAACAAAGACCCTATTGGCTCTTCAGTGACATATCAACTTTCTGCAAACTGCAGTTGTTGACTCCTGTCCTTCCTTCATACCCAGCAGCAGTAGCAGCTCTAAATAAAATAATGTTATTGTTGGTCTCCTCTTGTTTCCTTTCATCTTTTTTCTCATGGACAGTCTCGAGGGGGAGTTTAGGAAGCTCTTGAGTGCCCTCATGTGTTCATTAATATTTACATGCTTTCAGATCAGTGTACTGTACAGTATGTGTGTGCCTTTGACATTAGTAAATCAAAACATCTCCAGAAATGTTCACCCCTTGAATCTGAGCTGTGTGTCCCCAAAAAATGTGTTGAGGAGACATAAACATCCAACTAACATGTTCTGTCACGTATCCATTTTTGAGATGAATTTTCTAAAGTATCTGTGTGTGTGCATACATGTATTAGTGATAGCAAGTGTGTGCAGTAGCATATGTGTGTATATGATGCACAAATTACAAAGACATGAATTTACAAATCACCATTTGTCAGAAACAAAGTAACATGAACATTGAAGGCAGTTGTACTGTATGATGTGATGCAACGTTTTTGGGGCTGTGGAACACATATGGAACACAAGTATGACAACATGTTATCTCCTGTCCTTGCAGGAAGTGCTTTGAACCTGACTTGCCGGGCGTTTTTCGGCTACAGCGGCGACGTTAGCCCGCTCATCTACTGGATGAAAGGAGAGAAGTTCATAGAGGACCTCGATGAAGAGAGAGTCCAGGAGAGTGAAATCAAGTAAGAAACACACAGCTGGACTTTAGATCATTTTGCTTCACTTGGCAGTAATGGGGAATTAATAGTAGATGTGATTAAATTCACTGGAAAATATTAAAGGACTATACCAATAGTTTTGCACGTTTCATCCCATTAACTCCAAATTGCGTAAACTGACTGTTTTCTAGTGATTTATTCACTGCCTTCCAAGCAGTTGCCGATATCCATTTATTTTGCTGCAGTATTAACATCATGAAGAAACCTGACACTTGTTTTCGATCATTATTCATTTGTTTTGTCACCTTAATTAAAGCACGTGAAAATAGACTGACTCGTAACACGCTACATTGTGCACAGAAACAATAGAATTGCATACATCACCTACACAGCAAGATCATCATCTCTTATACACCAACACGGAGCATTTGTGTCACTGATAAGGAATGCATAATAACGCAAAATACTATTTAAACTGCAGTGGTGATAGTTCATATTGAGGCTTTATGAAGTGCGGTCAGTTTTACAAAACCAAAGTGTACAGACTCTTTTTAACCTGTAAACATTTGCCTCATTTAAAGATTTAACAGCCATAAACAACAACAACAAGAAACGAAAACCCACTCAGAGTTCTGATCATTGTTACTTTAACGTCACCACACATGGTAATTTGTCCCAAGCCTCATTGTATTTACGAGCTCAGTTGTCATAAAAAAATCAAGCCACAAGACAAAAAAAACTGCAAACCTGTACTATGCACCGAAAAACTGTGACGTTTTGCTGTTTCCTGTATTTAAGAGTTTGCTTCTCTCAAGTGGACCCTCCTACAAAGAGAGCTTTCAAACTGGGCTTTGTGTGCAGCTGCTCTGACAACAGTCTGAAAATAAATACAGGTTTTGAGTTATGCATCACGACGGATTATCTAATATGCAGTTTTAAGTCTTGTAGCTCATACAGTTGTTATGTAAGGTTCATAACATAAACATCTCTTAAAGGAAAACATTCTTTACAACATATTCTGAGAGCTAATTTGTTTTTCTTTTTTGTCCAACTATTTCTCTCAATGGCCAGTTTTTTTTTCTTGTCTCTTCTTTAACTTTCTGTTCCACTACTGTATCTACTGCAGAATGGGATGCACATTTGTTGGTTTATACTCACCACCACAGTGTGACAGCTGTACAAAAAGTCCATGTCCTGCTTTTTTCCCACATACTTGCGCATCTTTTCTAACATTTTCCCTCAAGGTTGAATGTACTAAATGCTATCTTCAAAAAACTGTTTCTGTACCTCGTCCTCTCTTATCTCCTTTCAGTGCACCATTGTACAATATGCCCAACAGGCCTCACGTTCACGCCCCTAAGACATTCAAAACAAGCCCATTTCCATGTCGCTCTTGCTTAAACAAGTCCATTTCCTGGTCCATGTGCATGTTTCCCATTAAAGCTGTTTGGAGAGAGTGCAGCTCTGGGGAGACAGTCCTGTCAGATGGTTAACAACCGCCATTTTTCACACCGCCACCACTATCGCTATCTCCCTCAGTGCACCCACCTATAGCAGCATGCAGATGGGCCGTGGAGAGCTGAGGAGGAAGGGTAGGAGGAGAAGAAGAGGAAAGATTAAGAAATATGGTAGAAGTCACTGAAGAGGAGTGTAAAGAAGACACATCTGTGATAGTGAGTTTGCTTGTGCACTGATATGAACAGGCAACAGAACCAAATCTCATTTTAACCACCACTGCTGCCCAGCTGCCTTCCTTTCTCTCTAACGCTCTCTTCCTCCTTTACTCCCAGACTCCAGGATTCACCCACTCACCAGCTGAGGGGTTGCCTTTTCAGTAATTCATACCAATATTTCATACAGAAGATCAATAATGTGTTTGATCAGCCCCTCCCTGTTGCTGATGCTGCTACCCTAGGCTTGTACATGTCCAGTCAGTGCCTTGCTTTTATTTCCATGGAGGTAGTCAGAGATATGGACCGAACAGTAGCGAGAAAGGATAGGGGAAACTAAACATGAACAAATCTGTGCTTGCCCTGCGGCCAGTTTCCCTGTCAGATGATACAGTGGGCATGTTTCTGAAACTGTTTCTTGTCTTCAGGTTGGCAACAACACACACTTTTAGCTTCATTACTAATGCATCAGCAGCCAAAGTTTTGAGAAGGGCAGTCACACTGTACATTAAGTTCAGAGTTTCTGCAAGCAGTTATTTTCCCAACTCTGGGCCTATTGATTCAGAGTTCATTCTATGGTAGCCCAAACCCATAAATTCTCATTTGCCCCACCGGGACAAGGCTGCTGTTGTTGTTATTATAGCACAGATGACTGGACATTATCATAGCATACAGAGATTAATAAATTAGCAAAACAAATCTGGCTCAGCATAATAAAGATGGTGATTAATTTGTTGTTGGCCCAATTCAGTTGGTGCTGTGCAGGTGTACACTGAACTGGATGTATAAAAGGAATGAATAAGTCAGAAATTGATCACTAAATGAGAACACAGCAGTGTTGCTAATGAAAAAAGGAGAGAATATTGAAAAGAAATAGTGCCTGCAGCAGGCATAGTCTGTGAACATGCTCACAATTTACTCATTCAGCTAACTTTATATCAATAAATTCAATCATCCAAAAGAAAAGTACAGGATTTTACCAAGATTTACACGGAATTCTACAAATCTGATTCACTCCGGAACATCTTGCATAGGATACATAAAGCTCGCTCTTCATCAGAGCTGCTGGTGTGTATGTGTGTTATGAACTGGTATTCAAGACTCATCTGCATCTATGTGCTTCACCTGCACCTACTCTAACTTTAGGTTCTCATCATTTCCATTTGAGGCTCAGGTTGTATGGCAGCGAGCTCTGCTGGCTCATATAGTCTGTTGACTTAACTAAGACCTCACCTTAAATGGGATGGAGGCAAGAGCTTGTTAGGGACATCTGAAGGAGGATGTGGTGGAATATACAGTAAGGTGAGGTTATGGTGATACTTATGTACTTAGCCCAGAGGTGATTTTAGTAAGGAATGGTTCAGCAATTTGGAGAAGGCTTAATAATATTATGACCTAATACTAATACTGTGTACACAGGAGCCAGTGTAGCAGTTGGTCAGTCTGCAGCTCACTGTGCATCTTCTGTGAATTTGTTTGCTTCCATAGTTTTACTGTCAGGAAGAGCACGAATGTGTCGACCATTTAGGGAAAAACATATGTAAAAGGAGTGAAATCTGTGGTCGAGAGGACAAGTTAGAGAGAATTTTGTAGACCGATTCAACAGCCTCCCCTCTCTAGGTGTGATATCACCACTATAGCCACTGAATGTTTCTCTTCATAGAGACCAATGTACAGTGTTTCTCATTTTCAACCATTTTAATAAAGACTCAAACAAAATGCAATCTTTTGAAAAGGATGAATGAAATTCAAAAGTTTAATCTACAGCAGATCAACCTCATCATCAGTGAGTCGTGGGCGTCCATGACCCTGTTGCCAGTTCACCATTTGTCCTTCCTTAGACACTGTTGGTAGGTACCAACCACTGCAGACCAAGAACACCCACCAAAACCTGCAGGGTGGGAGGTGCTCTGTCCCAGTCATCTCACCATCACAGTTTGGCCCTTGTCAAAGCCACTCTGATCCTAATGCTTGCCCATTTTTCCTGCTGCCACCACAAACATTGAGGACTGAATGTTCACCATTGTAACAAGATAATCAGTATTATTCACTTCACCATCAGTGGTCATACTGTTAAGGCTGCTTGGTGTATGAGGAATCCGTGCTGCTCCCGGGCATCGCGGATCCCCCTGTAATAAGTGGCAGACACAGGGCAAAGGAAGAAAGGATAAAAGAGGCTTACGAAACCCGAAAGCAGCCAGTGCCAGGAATGTGGAAATACATATAGGTAGGTGACAGGAAGAGGTTTCTGTTAGAGGCCAGGCCTGCTCCTGAACCTCTGATTTTCATTTTCATATAATGTAAATAGGAGACTTCAAAGTGCCTACCACTCCCTGGAGACATGAATTATTCCCATGCCTTTTTCTCTCAGCCGACCAGCCCCCAACAAACTAAGCTGAAACTACAAATATCATCAGCTCTGTATCAGCCTCTTTACGCAAAGCCCGTGATACACTTTCAATTACTGATGCCAAATCTCCCCAGCAAGCTGTCCTTATGTGCAGTTTATTGGCTTGAAGGCGAGTGAGAAGAGATCTGCTTGAGAGTCATTATCCCCCTACACACTCTAACATACACTTAAAGACATGCTCTTTCCTCTTTTCTTATCCCACTCCTCCCTCTCAACACATAGCCATTATTAACACATAGAGTAGATGATACATATACGTACACACACACACACACACACACACACACACACACACAGAGGTGATTTCTTTCTAATTTGCACTATGTTTTCTCCAAAGTGTCATTTGTGCTGCAGGTGCTGGAAAAGTGGGCTAAGTAGCATGTCTAAGGTATGAGGGAGCATTATCTCCCCACTCCCTCCTCCATCAGGCTCAACCAGCCCAGTGGGGGACACTCATTTACTTTATGGAATATTACTTTCTCTCCTTCTCTCTGTTACCATGGCAGCCGCTATAAAAAGATTTTCCTCTCATCACCATTATTTGATTTTCCCCCACACACACGCAGAGGAAGAACCCTTATTGATTTTCATTCCTCATATGTTTTGAGTCTAGAGAAAGAAATTAACATAGCATGAGGTACTTACAGTAACACAAAAGGGACTTTTTCAAGATTTTTCATTGTGCAGAAACATGTCTGCTTGTGGGCATTTCTATAGCTTAACCCTTATGAACTGTAGCACAGTATGTTTTGTGATTGCTGCAGTCAGGGTCATGACTCTTCCCCTCATATGTTGCTTGCTACTACTGGTATATCCCATCTACTACAAAACCGGCGTTGCAGAGACGCATGCTTCAGTAAGTTTTTATTGTTGTCGTTGTTGTTGCAGGGTGGTCAAAGAGCATCTCGGTGAACAGGAAGTGGCCATTTCCTTGACTATTGACTCTTTAGAGGAGGAGGACCTGGGAAATTATTCCTGTTATGTGGAAAATGGTAATGGTCGTCGCCAAGCAACCGTCCAGCTCTTCAGGCGGGGTAAGGGCTCTTTAACGTAACCTTGAGGAGTTTCAACACCCGGACATCTTGTTTTACTATTATATTTCCTACAACTTGCTTCGAAGCTGAAAAAACCATCTTATTCCTCACTCTGACAGTGTTTATTCAGTATCGGCTTTGTCAAACCCTTCATTAAAGGCATATGACAAAAGATTAAAAGCCTTTCTGCACCATGTTATCATACTAGATGTCTTGAGCAAAGGTTTATACACATTTTCTCAAAATACAGTCTGATATATGTGGTGCTTTTTGGAACTTTGATATTGGAACTACATTAAACAAAGCTTCACTTCACAGCACTGGGTTTGTTACTGACCCATTAGTGTGTGGAAGGTTAATGCTGCTCTTCTGTCTATCTGGTCTGTTTTTCTTTGCTCTTCCAAGTTCCACCCATGCCTCTGTTAACAATGTCTCCATTGCTTGGGTCGTTGCTCTGTACATGTGCCCCAGCAGCTGTGTAGCTATTTTGGCGCTCTAGCATGACTTGTCTGAATCACTTTTCATGCGCTGGTTGTCACCCTACAAAAAGAGGTAATTTGAGACTGTTTAAATGGCAAAGTGGTCCTCAGCTATTCCCAACAGGCCAGTAACTTCAGCATACAATTACATGTTAAGTCGTTATCTGTCTGTCTCCCTGCTTTAATCTCTGTCTCTGTAACTGTCTTTTGTAGACGGCCCAGTTCCATGTGAGTGGTCTTTGTAGACTGCACACAGCTTCATGTAACTCTTCTGAGAGGAAGAATGTTCTTTCTTTCTCATCACATTATTCTCATGTTTATTTCATGTTTCCTCTGCCAGAATGCATCACTCATAAACCCTGCAGCAGGTCTATGAATGTCTCTGCAGGCTGCCTTCCCTCCCATCTCAGAAAAAAAGAGAGGAGAGAGAATAGGCCAAAGTGGTGGTCATTGAAACACAAACGGCAGAGAGGAGAGAGAGTAGGCCAAGGCGAAGTGGTGGTCATTGAAACACAAACGGCTAAGAGTGTGAAAATAATTGGTGTTACATACAGTAGTTAGAAGCACTAAAGTTATGGAGAAGGCTAAGAATTTCACAATCAGAATCAGCTTTATTGGCCTGGTGTGTTGGACACAAGGAATTTGACTCTGGTACAGCGGCTCTCAATGTACATGTACATATCCCCATGCAAGGGGCAAGTAAACAATATACCAACATAAGGCTGTGTAGTATAACAAAATAAACAGTGTAAACAAGCAATAAATAATGCAAACAAAGGAATGTTTATTAGGAAATGAGATAAAAATAGAATAAAAATGAAGTACTTAAAAATAGAAACCTGTACAGATCTGTATAATCTGTACCATATATATTTAGAGGTATTGTCCAGTCATAATGTCGTGGGTTAAGTGTTCATCAGAGTGACGGCTCGGGGGAAGAAACTGTCCCTGTGCCTTGCTGTCTTGGTGCACAGTTACCTGTAGCACCATCCAGAGGGGAGTTCAAACAGATTATGTCCCGGGTGTGAGGGGTCTGCAGTGATCCTCTCCGCCCTCCTTTTGACCCGTGAGGTGTACAGGTCCTCCATGGAGGGCAGGCT